AAAGCCACAGGGACTGCATGGTCAACTGGATGGAGCTCCAGGCATGTGCTGTGTCTCAAGATGTTGGATGAGGGAACCAGCAGTTAGCGTAATGGCTATGTTGCTGGATTCCCACGTAGTTGACCGTGGTTCGCGTCCTGGACCCGGTGGCTTAAATCTCATGCCGGGCGCATGTGCATGCGTGCCCAGGATCCCAAGAGGAGAATGGAGGAGAAGGGATTGCGGCGTAACCATCCCCCCTGGGGGATGATTTCTCGCTTTCTGTCTCTATGTCTCTCTCTGTCTGGCGAGTGCACACACCCTATAGCGAAAAACCTCTCCAAAGAAAGAAAAAAAAAAAAAAAAAGATGTTGGATGACATTCCGTAAGCCAAGATGTTGTCTAAATACTAAGTTAATGATAGCTATCGACCTTGCACCAGGAATATAATCTACAAAGGATGTCATGTATATAGTACATTATTCTTCATAGCTAAACTCACCCACTGCTTATCCGATTTAATTTGGAATAAACAGGCTTTGCTCTGGCACAGTTTTGCTTTTGCTCCAAGAGAGCTTTAGCCCCCTGCTTTATCTTTTCCTTATCTTTTTTCTCAATCCTTTGCAACATACTACCTTCAAGCCCTGAATTTATGCACCATAGCAGCTGAAACTACAAGCTCATAGCAGCTTTAATTATTTTAATTAGATACATTTTTTTGAGAGTTTTTTACCATAGGGTACGTGAGTTTGCCGGAGAGACAGAGAGAGACAAAGAAAGAGAAAGTGAGAAATCACTCCCCAGGGAGGATGGCCACACTGCAATCAATCCCTTCTCTTCCACTCTATTCTAGGGATCTTGGACACACATTCACACACCCCCAGTGTGAGTTTATGTTTTGTTTTTTCTTTCAAAAAATTATTTTATTCAACTTTATTTACTCGTTTATTTCAATTTTACCAGAGAAGGGCAGAACAAGACAGAGAGAGGGAAAGTGAGAAAGCAAGCTGCTAGGTTGGGGACTCGAACCGTGACTGACTACGTGGGCGTCTAGTGATGTAATCCTTACGTCATACGCTAGTCCCAATTACATTTATTTTTAAAGTTTATTTTTTATTTTATTTCTTCCATGAGAGAAAAACAGAGGGAGAGAGGTAGAAAGAGACAGAGAGACTGGCACATCCAGAGGTTTTCGTGTCATGACGCATCCCCAGCCTCAGTCAGCCAAGATCCCGGGCACACATGCACGCTAGTGTGTACTGGGACACCCTGGAATGTGACCTCAGGACCTTCCCAGATGAATTTAAGGTCACAGATTTTACTTGAGACACCAGTTTAAGTACAGTGGTAAGCAGAGTTTCTTAGTATTTCTTTGACTGATTAAAGTTACCACTGTTTTTCTTGAAATTAAAAATATAGAAAAAAAAAACCTAATCAATAACTGTAGTAAGCTCTATAGCATCGGCTAGGTGCTACCTTATAGTATGTTCATTCTACTCAGAGTTTCATGCCTAAAGTCAGACATGTGTTCACAGGTATGCATATGCCAGCTGAACTCGGTACTGAAAGTAGTTCAATTATTTAAGAAATTTTGTGAATCAATAAAATGGGGGGGAGGAATGGAAAACAACTGTGGACACCTGAAATAGTGTGGGAGGAGGGTGGGAAATGGCATAGGGTGAGAAATAGAGGGGAAAAAATATATATGAAACTAGAAATGGAGAATTATTGATGATAATATGTATGATTAAGCCACTATGCAGTCTATTCTGGATGGGAAATCACATTTTGTATGCTGTGACAATGCTCAGTGAATGAATGTAAATTAATTAATTTAAAAATAAATAAATAAAATATATATAAATATTTTTTTAAAAAAGTACAGTGGTGAGGGACCAGCAGTTAGCGCAATGGCTATGTCGCTGGACTCCCACGTAGTCGACCGTGGTTCAAGTCCCGGACCTGGTGGCTTAAACTCATGCAGGGCACGTGTGCGTGCGTGCCCAAGATCCCGAAAGGAGAATGGAGGAGAAGGGATTGAGGCGTGACCATCCCCCCTGGGGGGTGATTTCTGGCTTTCTGGCTCTCTGTCTCTCTCTGTCTTTCTGGCGAGCACACGTGCCCTATACCAAAAAAACCTCTCCAAAAAAAGAAAAAAAATAAAAAGTACAGTGGTGAAAGTTGGAGTCCAATAACACGATATCCCCTTAGAAGTGTGAGGCAGTAGAACAATGAGGTGGGATTCCCTGTTTCAGACATCTGGCTGAATGGAGGCTGAATGAAAATTGGCAGGGAGGAATTATTTTTAGGTTGGAGAGAGTTCTTTTGTAAAGACAGAGAGATGCAACAAAAGAAAGATCGAAGATGAAAGTGGGAAAGAAGACAAGATAGGTAGGGTAGGATCTCAGGACAAATGAGGGCACAGGATCAAAATCAAATAGGTAAGAGGACCAGGAGAGGATAGGCACAGGATTCACACTGACTTTGCTATTCGCCATTTAACACTCGCCAAGTCACATAATCCTCTGAGTGTGTTCTGATATCCGTGAATTGGAGCTAAAACGCACATCGTACGTAAGATTATGACGGACAAATAAAATGACTTTTGTTAAGTACATAATGTACACAGCACACCACTAGAAAAACAAGCACATTTTTTATTGAATTATATAAATAATAATATGTATATATCCAGCTCTGGGTCATGAGGAAGTGGGCACCCAGTATACTCAGGGAAGTCTCCAGAACAAACTGAGACTCTTCCCATGTAGGACAGCCTCGCAGAGCATTGTTTTACTGCTGTACTACCACCTGGCCCCTTGTCATACTGATGTAGAACATACGCTATGCCAGTGTGACCTCAATCTTAACTGGTTACATCTGCAGAAACACTATTTCCAAACAAGGTCACATTTAAAATCCCAGATTGACATGAATTTTGGGGAAACACTATTCAACCAAGAACAAGAAATATATTGCCAGTGTGTATCCTCATTTTTATAGCAGTTTCTATAGTCGATTTTCAATAGGAACTAGAATTTGGACCTCAGAGATGAAGACAGCAAAAATGGCTGAGAGTTGAGGTCATGGAATTTACTGGTCCTTAAAAATGAGAAAACTGATGTTCTAAGTGGTTACATGACATAAAAACAAATTTTAAAAGTTGCTCTACTGTGATTGGTGGAATGTAGTGTAACTGTATCTCCTACAGCACTTACATATACTAGTCAAATTCTAGGAGTCCACCGTGGATCATCGGATAATGAAATATAAAAATTTGAATCAATATTTGTTCTCTTAGGTAGGTCACTATACTTTTTTTTTTTTTTTTTTTTGAGAGAGAGAGAGATTTGCTGTATAGAAAGCAAGAAAGCAGCCCCTGTGGGGATGGCCACTCTGCAATCCCTTCTCCTCTAGTCTCCTCTCAGGATTTTGGGCACACACGTTCACACACACACCCAGCATGAGTTTCAAGTCACCAGATCCAGGACTCGAACCACACTCAATCACATGAGAGTCCAATGCCTTAACCACTACGCTACCGCTAGCTCAAGTCACTATCTTATTTATAAGGAAAACTCATTACTGTAACTTTGAATAGACTTAAAACTTGGTCTGAAGTTATATCACCAAAATCTATATTGGTTTCCTGCTGGTTCACTTGATTTAACGCTTTGTTAGTTGTTTTCCAGAGAATGAAGACTGGGGGGATTAAAAACCTTAACAAGCCCTTTGCTATTCACTCATAAACACTTTTGTATCATGAGTCCAAATTCTATTGTAGTTCATCGGTTTTATGGAGCACTATACAAATATAGCAAAATAGTATCCTTCACACTATGCTTCTAGTCTCCAAACAGGCAAATACTCTCATGATTTTAAGAACTTCTGCATGCTATTTCCTGTTACAAACTTCATGCCTAACTAGGAAGGAGAGGAATTTTACAGACCAAGCTATAAACTCAAGACAAATTGTGCATTAATTCCAAACCTCAGAGAGCCCAAGGTTGTGTACCAACTACCTGAACCTGAAGAAGCCAAGAACAACAGCACTCCTGGCAGTACGTGCCAGGTTACAAATGCATATGATTTAGGATTCGGGCTCTACTTGTATTTCAGAGTATACTTACACTATCCTTTCGCTTTAATTTATCTTAGCGATTTCCATTTACAACAGCTATCTATGACATTTACAGGGAAGCACTTAAAGAGGTCTTGGTGCATGTGAACAAAAGACAACACTGGGCAGGTTTTGTTTCTTTCCGGTTCATTGGGAGATGAAGTAGGCAGCTCTTCGGCTCTCACTCTGGCAACTGTGACATGTTAGCCTGGTATTGCACTGCATATACATTTGTAACAGAACACAACTTTCATGGGTTTGTGGCTTGCTTCAACTTTTATTATTTTTTAATCTTGGACTCTTGCAGAAGAAAACAATCTTCATTACTTTTTAAATTGCACTTTACAAAATAAAAATATCAACACTTTACAGATTTATTTTAGAATATTCTAAACTCCAGGAATCTTGATACAAACCCACACAGATTAAAAATTTGGAGAGTTGGTGTAACTAGGTACCACTTTGTCGTAGAGCTGGGAAAGATAAAGCATCTCAGCACATGCTCTGTCATAAAGCGTTTGGGAGCCTCAGTGGAGCTTCAGAATTCTTTCTGAAAAGGACAAAAAAGAGACTTCCTGCTCTTCCTATTAACTTCAGCATGTGGGACCAATATGGGCAATGCAAAGTTTAAACAGATGCAAATGCTGAGGGGAGGAGGCACTGTCATGTGTTGTTTTACATATTTCTTTATACCCAGATTGAGTTTAAGTCTGCCTCTCCTAGGAGCTTCAGAGAAGACTTCCACTGAACTCACAGCCATAACTGAATGGTCTACTTCACCAATATTTGCTTATGGAAATAAAGGGGAGTGACAGGGAAAGGAGGAGAGGAGTGGAGGAGGGGCTTGAGGCTGAGGGCGGCTCTGAGCACACCATCAAGCACCAGTAACCTTGTCTGATGTGATCATTAACCTTTCTGGAAAACGCAGCTGCAGTTCGCTGAGGTTTGTCATTAGAATGTGAAGAGGGCCACAGAGATACTGCAGACTGTTTACAGACTGGTTTACTCTGAGAGCTGTTGCCCCCCTTTACTTTGGCAAGAAAATGAGATTTCGACAGTTCTTTTTTGTATTTTTAATTTTTATGATGAATCTTCTCCTTATCAACGGACAGAGACCAGGTAGGACTTTGAAACATTTGTACGGAGTAACTTGTTTTTATATGTGTTTGTATCCCTGAGTCTCTGAGCTGATTGTGCTTATGCTGAAAATCACCAAGGTGTGTTACAAGTATTGGGGATAAATGTGTAGTGTTTAGGAAGTCTGCTGTCTATTCCTGTTGAGTCTATGATTTGGATATTTTTAAAATAGCTAGATTCGAGTGCTCGCTTCAGCAGCACATATACTAAAATAGCTGGACTCAAAAATAATGAAAAATATTTACCACTATTTTTTCTTTGCAAAGAAAATTGATCCCTAAACTACTGTAGATTTGTTGTTCATACAAGTAAAAAGAAATGGAAATGTCAGTCTATTCCTCGTAAAGTATACAAACCTGTAGATTTTTAGGTGAAATGCAAAATCCAACAGTTTATTCAAAGAGCATGTTGCTGGCTAGAGTAAGACAATGTTAACTGAATTAACAACATGTAAAAATCACAGTGAGACAAGATGCAGACGAAATCTTAAATGAGGTCAAAGTCTATTATTTCCAGTTATATAATTAGGCATGTCACTTAAAACAAAAAGGTGCAGTTTCTATTACTATTGTACTAGTAAAACAAAAAAATGTTGAAAATATATATAGTCAAGATACGCAATACTTACTTAACACCATTTTCAGAGATAGTACCAATTATGTTGTACCTTACCAACAAGAATTTATTAGATAAATTATTCTAATGTGCTTTTACTTCAAAACAAAATATTTAAGATTTCAAAGCACTGTTAAGTTTTTTAAAAAATAGAAAGTTAAAGTTTTCTGACTTAGAAAGGTGGTAATTTTTAGATCCAAATATTTTAGATTACTCACTTGATAATATACTTCTCCAATTAGAAGAGAATGTGGTGCATAACTGGTTAAAATTTCAGAAGAGAAAATGGTGCATAACTGGTTAATTGGAAGTTTGATTGCTGTGAGGTTAATTCAAACGACATCCCCTGATCTGTGCTTTTATATAAGTAAGGAAAAAAAAGGTCTAAATCTGCAACTCCAAAAAAGGAGCTGATCCCTTCTTATTGTTTATAATAGTTGCTATTCAATCGTTTCTTTTTTTCTCAAATACAACACCTTGGACGATGTTCTAGTGAAATAATTGTGATGAATGGCCTACATGAAGTAGAAGGTCTGGAGCATTTAGAAAGAAGTCACGTGACTTAAGGAAGCCCTTACTATTAAGATCCTGCCACTACAGTAACTGCAGGGAATACACCTGTGCATATGTATCACACTGATTTTTTTTACTTCAATCACATCTGAACAAATAGTAAATAACCACAGTGTAATTTGGCTCCAAAATGTACTTTTACATTCTCTAGGTTAAACGATTCATTTTCTGATAATTGTTCATAATATTTCTCTTTTTTCCTTTAGCTAATCTGGCCTTGAGAAGAAAACTGCACAGACACAACTGCCTTCAGAGGAGATGCATGCCTCTCCATTCACGAGTGCCCTTCCCCTGAGGTATTTCTGAGACAAAGTATTTCTACCACATTTCCAAAGCAGTGCTTCAAATGAGATGAACCAAAGAACATTCATTCATAGTGTGATATGCGAGTAAGGCTTCTGGTGATAACGAAATGTAAGAGATGTGTACTAACAAATGAGAATGAGATCACACGACGTTTAAGAATTGCTTTAGTAGTTAGGGAAGAATGGGATAGAAGAGGAAAATATAAGAAACTCGAAACTTATTGAATCTGCATAATAACTATATAGAGACTAATACTTTTGTGTGTGTTTGAGAATATTCATAATCTAAAAATGAGGTACCAGGAGATTTTAATTATGTAAGTATCTTTAAACATGTGTATGAAAAAACTGAATAGTTCCAAATGTTATCCAGAACAAGCACATGTCCCAGTAAGATCACTGTGTAGTTGAAAGCCTTTGGATATATTTACCATGAACACACCAATGACAGACTAGCCTCAATGCTTCAGGGTTTTTTTTTTTCCCTAAAATATTTATTTCAATATATAAGTCAACTTAACAGGAAGACAGAGTGCAACTTCCCTTAGGGTATTGGCCTTGATGGTTGCATCTTTAAGGATAAATTCTGAACAAAATTGTGCTCCTCCTTTTTTGTTTTTAGACTCACTAAAAGACCAATGATTTTATATCACTCTCAGCACCAATAATACTGCTGGAATCAACGAACTTCAAATACTGCCCGAGTTTAAGTCTCTTTACACTAAAAAATAAATAATTTGGCATTCCATTTTCATTACTTTAAGGTTTTAAATACATTTAAAATATATCTTCCTTAAAAAAATGCTATAGAAGTATCCCTCAGCTGGTTAACATACACCGGCTATTGCTAAATTAGCTAATTCAGTTGGTCTGTAGACTGTAGCTTTTATGGCTCTATTCATTCCATGAAAGAATGGTTGCTATGCCTATTGTTTAATACATGCTTTTCAAACCTGCTGAAACCCTGGTAGCTGGAAATTAAATAAAGGAAGACAATTTTGTAATAAGCATTATCAAGAAGTCTGAGACAAAAAGCTAAGTTCTCTATACCTGTTTCTATAACAAATTATTCTTTCCTGTTAAAACATGAGAAATACGTTTAGTGGATGAATCCAGAAAGATTTGATAATAAGTTCCTGAGAAGCCAATTAATAATGACTAAAACATGCTTTTGAAGGATCTAATATGTTAAACTATCCTTTGGTGTGTGTTTATAATGCTTCCAGCTGAATATTTCAAGCTCATGGATAAAATGGTAAATTCTGTGCTTGGGAGGAATGGAGACCTTCCATGTTTTCCCAGTACTCCTCCACAAATAACAAAGAGGAGGGAGGCATTTCACAATAGCGAGCAAATTCCTGCATATACAGAGAAAAATACCTTGCAACACAAACACAAGTCCTTAGTTAACCACAAGTTATCTTGACTTTCTCCACAAGCCACTGGCCATAAAAACCAAGCTGCAAGTAAACAAGATGGAATAGTGAAATCTGAATTGTCCAAGTTAAGAGAAATTTGACTTAGACACCAAATTTGTAAACCTAAGAGACATTTTAAAAACAACTATGTAAACCATTTAATTATAGCAGCCATTTACAAAAATTGGCTGGTAGCTTGACAGAACTGCTCAGGTTTCAGCACTCATTTATCTCAGTGCTCAGGCTAGCCCTATGTTCACTACAGCACTTTGAAGAATGTGTAAAAGTCACCTGTAAGAACCCAGTAATTACTGGAAGAGCTAATGTAAGATAAACAGGAAGGTAATTCCCTAACCGGTACTATAACAAGTGCTACCTTCAAATTCGATAACGTAATTCTCATTGTTCTAAACACATTATTTTATATATCTTGCGCAAAGGTTCTTTGACAGTTGGGAAAAGGCACTACAGACCCAAGTGGCAAACTCTAAGGCAAAACCTCCCCTCCATTTCTCTATTTTCTGTATGCTTCTGATAAAATCACACAGGTTATTTGATTAATTTGGGGTTAAGAATGATTGTAAAAGGATAGGTAAGTAACAATTTACTTTAAAAGTTTTCCAGATGAGACCTCTAGCTCATTTAATAGATCTGATATTTACGAGTGAACATTTTTTCTGCTCCTAGAGTCCCCTGCAATGATTTTTAGCAAGATTTCCTAACCTGTACAACTGAGTTCATTAAATAGAAAACATATGCTGTATATAGTTTATTTCCTTGATTTTTTTCACAAACATTTGGCATCACCTTCAGTCCTAAGTGAATTAGAGTAAATGAGTGCAAGAGAAGGGATGTGAACTAATGCAAGCTTGTAGGTTAATGGGAGAGGCATACCACGGGAGACAAGGCAGGGATTAAGATTCTAATGACAGCCTCCTTCCAATAGTCAAATCTCACTACATCAACACTTTTTTTTTAATAAATATGGACTCTACATTACATGTTCTGGGCTGGCTGGTTTGTTCTGTTTGTTTGTTTTATATTTGGATTATTTGTTTGTTTGCTTGCTTATCTTGCCAGATGGTATATGCACTCACCAGAGAGAAACAGAGAGAGAGATAACAAGAGGGGCAGCAGGTGGCATGGTGGTTAAGGCACTGAAATTCCCACAATGGCTGGCTGTGGTTTGAGTTCTGGACCTCTCTCTGTCTTTCTCTGGCAAAACTCATGTGGAAAAATAATGATAATAAACAAATAGCAAGAAAGCACACCCCCACCACCATCCCCTAATGAGGACAGTTGCGCTGCAATCCCTTTTCCATTTCTCTCTCTTGGGATTTTGGGTACACATGCATATATGCCCAGCACATTTCTCAAGCCACTGGGTCAGGGACTCAACCACATAGTCAGCCACTTTAACTATAGCTGGCCCAATATACTCTATGAATACACTATTCTATCTAGCCTTTTAAATAATGCTTTGGGCTTTTTTATTTTTTAACTTTGTCAAGAGAGAGCTACCTCCATCAGATCTTCACACTATGACCCACTTCCAGTCTCGCTTAGCCTGGCTTATGGGCACATGTTCCCTGCCCAGCATGTACAGAGGACCTCGTGACGTGAACCCGGGACCTGCTCATGTGGCTTCAGCATCACAGAGTATTGTGCTCTCACTGCACCACGGAAGCTGGCCCTACGTAGCTTTTTAATAGCAATGGTACACATGTTCATGAAATAAGATTTCTTTCTTTTTTAAATTGCCACATAGCACACGCACTCATTAGAGAGACAGAGAGAACGGGGGAGGGAAGGCATCCCCACTGGGGCATGGTCATGCTCCCATCCCTTCTCTTCTACTTCTCCATCCTGTCAGCATTTGGAGCACGCAAATGAATCCTGCCATGTTTTTCTAGTAACCAGGGCTGGTATTTAAACTGCAGTCAGTGATGTGGGATCTACCTCCTTTAACTGCTAGGCTACATGACTAGCCCAAATCTTATTTCTAACAGTGGAAGAATGTAAAGTCAGGAGTAAAAGTCCCCCACCCTACATCATTGCCAACTTTTACTTCCCAGAAATAATGGCTATAAAAAGATTTTGGTATAAGTACCTTTTAATTCATTTCTTTTTTCTTTTTTAGGTTTTTGTCATAGGGTGTGTGTTTGCCAGAGAGACAGAGAAAAAATGAGAGATCACTTCCCAGGGAGTATGGCCATACTGCAATCCCTTCTCCATTCTGGGATTTGGCACACACACGCACACATGCCCAGCATAAATTTCAAGCTGCCAGGCCTGGGACTTGAACCATATTGGCCATGTGGGAGTCTAGCACCTTAACTGCTATGCCACCTTCTGACCACTTAATACATTTTTTTTTATTGAGTCCAGCTAATATTAACTCGTCACTCTGGCTTACCATTCAAAATGTGCCTCAAGTATTTTCTGCCTTATTCCTTCTCCCTTGCAGATATGGCCTTCTGACCTCCCAGCCACACTCTTT